GTTATTGCTTAAAGACCTTTCTGGATATGCTCTCTCTGTATCCAAATCAGTTGCTGGATGCTTGTCACCTCCCCTTTGAATTTTAGTGATTGTTTTTCATGGCCATGTATGGGATTAACTCAATCAAACCAAACTTGTGTATATGTCAAAAAAGAATCATTTGGCTTTTAGCCTTGCTTTTACCATAAGTTGCGATGGTCCAGTTTTCTTTACCATTAAACTATCTTTAAATATGTCCAGGGCTGATATTTTAAACGGTTAGCGGGCTCTTTACTCAAATCAGAGCCATGTTCTAATATTAAACTTAGCAGCAGAGCCTAGGTAAGACTGAAATCTTTGTCTGCTGGCTGCTTTGTGGGCACCGTGACTTTCTCAGAGAAAGTCCTCTGCCTCAGGAAATAACTCTGCACCTGCAACTCTTGCAAGCCCTCATTTGTTTGGTTGTTGTTTTTTTCATTTGTTTGTTTGTTTGGTTTTGGTTTGGTTTGGTGTGGTTTGTTTTTCTTCTGTAAGGGCCTGGGTAATGCAAGCACCAATGTTGCAAGGTGGAGGAAGTAATAAACAACTTGTGTTCCCTGTTCAGATGTCACAGTTTCAAAGTCACTGCTTGGGGGAGCAGAGATGAGCAGAAATTGCCATCTCCAGAGCCTCTTCCCACTCTTGGAAGATGCTGGAGGTAGCAAATCCTTTTCCAGCATTCCCTTTGTGCTCAATGGCATGTGGATGCGCTCAACCTAGCCAGAAAAACTGGATTACAATGTGTTGATTGTAAAAGAGGGAGGAAGGTTGCTCATGCAAAGTATCTATTTCATGTGGTGAGCAGAAGAGAGTTGGGGTGGAGATTTATGGATAGACAGGTGTTGACACTTTCTGCAGGTAACGCTATTGTTATAAACATGTGGGCATAAAAGCAAAGAAATTATCTGTTGGTGAGCAAGAAAGACTCCTGCTAGAAATACAAGGCTCTTAGTCATAATGTTGGCACCTCTAAAGGCTTTTTTGACTGGAAAGGCAAAGTAATCTGCTTGGAAGCAAGCCAGAAGGCTGCTGTGCATTACTGTTGCTCAGTGGTAGGGTCCCTCCTGTATCTGAATTCTGCATTTGGTTATCTCTGTAGGCATGGTTGAGTTTTCTCTGCTATTAGTGCTGCTTTGCAGTGAACTGTAGGTATTCATGGGGACGTGATAATGTTTGTGATTTGCAGTACAGAAATTGTTCACTGATTATGCTGTGAGTAATGCTGCTGAGCAGCTCACATTAAAAGCAGAGGCCTCATTGATAAAGCTAAGATAAATCCTTCAAGAAGCTGGCTTTTGCATTGTTATAATTTTGATAAGCTTTGGTACAAACCCACTTTTTCAATTAATAGAAAACTGTATTAGGGTTCCATAGGTTATCATATGACATACACCGATTTTGATTTTTCCCTGCACTGTTCTTTCTGAAATACTGGTTGGTTTGTTTTTGTTTGCAGAGTGATTGCTCCCTTTACAGCCATCTACCTCAAGGAAATATTTTAATCCTCCTTTTTTAAATCTGGCATGACTAAAACATGAATGACAAGAGGAGGCCAAGAGTCTTCCACGGGAGAGATTGCTTAGGTCAGAGGATCAGCAAATTCATCAGAGAAAAGGTTGCTTGAGATATTGTCTTTCAAAGCTAGCTCCATTACGAAGAGCTGTATGGGAACTTTTCACCTTTTGGGGGACAAGAAAGATGCTGTACCATGGGGGGGGGGGGCGGTTAGAGGAACGGGATGATTTTCCAAGTGCTACTCTCCAACTGCGTGTAGCAGTGTTATGCAGAACTAATACCAGAAACAGATACCAGCTGTATAAATGTTGATGTGCACCAGCTCTTTAGGGAAATAGAAGCACGTTGACTCTACTCAGGTGAGGACCTGGCCGCCTGGAAGTTACTGGTGGCAACTGGTATTCTTGTAATGGACATGGTGGCTGGCTCTTCTGGGTAGGTTGTGTGGATTTCTGGTTGAGGTCTTGGGATACGAGATTATCAAAAGGTATTTTCCAGTGCCCAGATCCTTCTAATTCCTGTAGCACTGGTCTGTGCGTCAGTGTGTCCTACAGAGATCAGTGTTGCCACAGTGGATTTTGCCCTGCACAGGCTGCCAGGTAGACTGACAGTCCTTTCCCTTAGTGGGGGACTGCATGGCACCAGAGTGCACATAATTTGGTTAGCCACACAGATACCATGCAAGCTCACTGAAGGGCTGACAACCACAATTTGCATATTAGCTTTTAATTGATCATTTCCACAGACCACAAAGCATTGTACCGCAACTTATTTTATCTTAGTAGAAGACAAAAAAAAAAAAGAAAGAAACAACAAACCAAAAAATAAGTATTTGTGTTCAGGCTTTTTTTTTTAATGCTCTTGATATAAAAAACAGTAAAACTACTGTTTACATGTGATTTTCAGTAACTTCCTGTTTTTTAAACTTCTGTCATCAAAACACTGACTTCTTGTTTTGTGCGTAAAGCACCTTAGCCAAACAGCTGTACAGGTGTAAGTCTATGTACTCTATAACCTGTCTGCTGCTTGGCTGGGGGCAGAGGGAAGGGATGTATTTTGGTGGGCTCACCAGGGCTGTACGTTGTGTATTTCCTCTTACATTAATGTATGACAGAGTTTAAGTGTAGCGCACACACATGCATGCAAAACTGAAACTAAGAGGCACCAGTGCAAACAGGGATCTTTCCTACCCTTGGGCATTCTTTAATTTTTGAGTCAGGATCAGGGTCTGATCCTATGCTATCCAGCATGGTATGAAAATGGACCTCAAATTGGAAGTGCATATTGGAGAGCATATGTTATATATGTTAAGATACCTTAAGAGAACCTCCCCTCTTATTAATGTACGTATTTGCTGATGCATGTTTGGTAGATACGATGCTGTTAATTTCAGAGTTGCTGGTCTATGTTCAATAAATATGCACTGCACGCTATTAGTTTCAAAGTTAAGCTCTTTATGACTCTCCATACCAAAACTGGGACAGTCAGTTATTACATTGAAAATAGCATGCATTCGGAAAGTTTCATGGGGATGCAGTGTTCACATCTACTGCTTCTTGTTATGACGTTTTATTTAAAAAGAGACACACCATCCCACCACATATTTAATTTTAGTTTCAATAGCTTGCTTTTGTATCAGGCTCACCAGTGGGGAATTTCTGCCTCCCGCTCTCTGCACGGAAACTTTAAAGGTTTGCTCTTCCAGAAAACGAACTGTTTCTGGTAGCACAGCTTCGATTTTGCTGCAGCTACGGACCCCTCTCTGCCTGAACCTGATTTCTGATTTTTCAAATTGCCAAGGCAGGAGCTGCCAGGTGTTCCTCTGCCGTTTCCAGCAGGAGAGAACATTTGCTCACTTACAGATGCCTGGTTTTGTTCACTGTCTTTCCGTCCAGTTCCCAGCCCAGCACACCCTCAACTCCTGCATTCCCTGGGTGTCCAGATTCCTACATGATGGGCACATTGGAAACGTGTAAAACAGACTGCACATTGCACTTCCCATGAAAATCTAGTATTTCTTTCCCTGAACGACTGCTCCTCCAAGTCTAATCAAAACGGATTTTCCTAGCCAAAAATTTTTTTCTTGTGACTTTGTAAGCGCTTTCTTGCACAGCTGGGGTTCGAGCTATACAGCTTTTCCAGGTCAGTGCCGAATCACCCAATGCGCAGCTATAAACAGACACGACTTTATTTTACACTCAGTTCCCCTTCTTTCTCTTTTCCTCCTTCAGGCCAACCATTTCTCTGCGTCTTTATGTTTTTATTTTTGGTTTATGTAACTTCCTGTAGCCAGCATGGTAATTTTCTCAGCAACAGTTATTTCAACAGTTCCCAATCTCATCCCCTCCTCCCCCTTCCCTGGCAGCAATGGCTCAGACAATTGCAATTTTAGCTGCTCGCTACCAGAAAACTCTTAGAAAGTATGGCAAGGCTGCCCGGTCCGCTTCTGTTCCCTCTTCAGCTTTGCAAAGGTCCAGTTAGCTCCTACGGGCAAATATGCAGAGGCAAGTCTGTAACGGGGAGGGAGGGGAGGGCTCCGAGGCCTGGCCGTGGGGGTCCCTGACGCTCCCCGCGGCGGTGAGGGCCGTGGCCCCGCACCGGGCCCCTGCTGCCAGCCGCTCCCCCACGCAAGCGCTGCTGCGGCACGGAGGGACCCTGCGGTGACACCAGGCCACCTCGGCCGCCTCCCGACAGGGCGGCGACCCCCGGCCCCTGCCC